CACACACACACACACAAACCCAACTTATTATTATTCAGACATTAAATACTAAATGTTTTGATTCTGTCAAAATGCCTGGGCAACAATTTTCCCTGAAAGAAGATTTAGATATTCTGTGTTTCTGTGAGCAGCCAGTGTGATAACAGTGCGAGTATTACCGTTCCTCCAGCGGTTGAGCTCAGCCTCCAGTCTTTGAACAGTCTCCTTCATTGACCTGTTCTTCTCCTTCTCCTTTTCGTACTTCTTCTTCCACTGCTCTGCTGTGAGCTCCAGGTTCACTGATACAGTATTTCTAATGGTCTTGGCTCTAATTGGCGGGATGCAGGGAGAAATTGAGAAAGAGCACAAAAGAGAAAAAAGGAAGTAGGCAGTGTGAGAGTAGGCGAGTGAGAGGAGGAGATACAGAAAAGGGGGGGAAAAAAGTATGAGAGAACAGCAGAGAATAGAGGAACTGTCAACAAGGGTATTTCAGCCCTGGCTGCTCAATGAAAATGGGCTTGCATCTCATTAATTGGTATGCAGATTGGGTTTCTGCCAACTGTGTTTGATGGTGCATGTAGGGAGAGGGAGGTATATGGAGGCAAGAATTCAAAATGTAAAAAAATGCTTCAGACCTCTTAAATTCACATCAAAATATAGCGATCATACAGTTCATAAGAGGACAGAGTACTGTATGTGGTTATAAATTATTACTCAATTATGACGCAAATATGTGGCGTCACAGAGCTGAAATATTCACGATGCTACAGCTGCAGCACTCGGTTCCGGCTGTGAATTTCACATCAGTGGCTATCACTTAATTTCACACTCCAGTGAGAAAACACTGTTGTCCCTATTCGTTTATTCCCTGATATTAGCAAGACAAACAGCCCTATCTAAAGTTGTTGCATCACATCAGAATTTAGATAACACTTTTGTGGATAGGGCTGATAATCAAACATCAGGTGGCAGTAAAGTTAATGTTCAGCAAAGTGGTAATGGCTAATTTATGGACTGTATTTATGTACTGTATCTATACACTATGTGCCCAAACAATCCAACCATAGAATCTCTATTTTTAATAGTAACAAAAACCATAAAATGAATCCAAACCTAGGCACTGAATTTCAATAACTTTGTTTTTATGCTGTAGTTTTCGCTTAAACCTGCAAATGTGTGGAACGTTTTCTGAAATATAGTAACTTGTTATGTTGATAACACTGAAATATCCAAATAAAGAGTGACATAAATGTGTTTAATATCATGTTACACTATTTTTGGTGTGATACTGATTTTAAAAGAAGAGATTAATCTTGGCACTGACAAAAAGAGATAAAAGACCAAATTCTCTGCTCAGTAAAATTCAGATGTCTGCTTTGGATTCTGTCACTCCCTTTGCTTCGTCATACATTATTTATTTCAACCAACTCGCATATCTCTATTCAAAGAATTCACTGGTAGGGGAAACAGATGCATAGATCTTTTCTTACCATCTGTGGGTTTCTTTGAGTTGACAGTGAGCAACAGGAGTGAAAAGCTGGCAAGCAAACCAAATCTCTGCTACCATGAGTGCAGCTTAATCTTAAAACCGTTAAGATTAGAAAAGATGCTCTTTAAGCAATCCCAGCACGACCACAAACCCAATTACAACACATACCCTGCCTCTAAAGCAGGGTCCTGGTGGTCAAAAGTAAAGTTGGAGGCAGTAATATGTGACCAGCATATCTGAATTGAGTGCATTTCAGGCAGAAAACATTCCAACAGCTGCAGCTGAGCGAGACAGAGATGAGTGTTGTGCTGCACTGTGCAGCAGCCCATGGCTACTTAGCAGGGAAGCAAGTTACCGTTGGCCAAACATCAAGGTGGATTTGGTCTCTGCTTCATTGTAACTGGAGGGAGAGCAACAGATGAACATGGTGGTGCGACAGTTCCCGCCCAGCGAGTCTTGTAAGATGCGAGTCATTTTGCTGTCACGGTAAGGCACGTGGGATTTCTGTACAGAGATAAAGAGAGGAAGGAAGAAAAGAAATCAAAGACAGTGAGAAAGGCATGAAAAAAAGACAGATAGAAGAGGATTAAGAGATTGTGGAAGACTTTCTGAATTGCAGTGCCACCATCCACATGCTTTTCTTTAAAAAAATGAAAAATATGCTGCTGTGAGCATTAGCACAGAACAAAGAGACAAGAGGTTTCTCTCTGTCTGCTGCACCATTCACAGTCTTACCTTTTTAACCTTTGGAACATCTTCAAAAAGACTGTGTCCTTGCTGCCAGTAGATTTATGTAAGATTTGAGAGGCATTTACAGTCTGTGAGCCTTTTAGCATTTTATGAGGAGTTCCCTAAGAGTTATAGAGAGTTATATAATAAGAGATGGTGAATATTTTAATTACGATGATGAAACTTGGAAGGACTAACAGACTGGGCACAAGACATCGAGTGGGTAAATTGCTGGTCGCTCATATAGAAATAAGTTACCAGCTGTTGCAGCATTAGCAATTATGGATAAGGGCACAGAAACGTAGCTAGCATGTCACTGCAGCATTCATTCAATCCAACTGCACATCAAACAAGGAATATGGGAAGATTCTGCAAAACTCTGGATCACATGTGACAATGTTGTTTTTTTATGCCAGTGTTTTTAAAATCTGTTCATGGCAAATATGGTATAGTTAACAAATAAAATATGGTTTGAGGAATAGTTTGACATTTTGGGTCCTTCTTGCACTCTCCCCTCGTTGACTGGCAACCTTGTGGTGACAACAACACTCCAGATGGACAGACCCAGGCTGCCTGTTCCCCCACTTCACTACACGACACACCCCCTGAGATAACTTCCTGGATTAACATACCTATTTTAACCCAAACCATGATCTTTTCCTAAAATTAACCAAGTAGTTTTGGTGCCTAAACATACCAAACTCTGACTGTTTCAAGGGTGTCATATAATATTTGTGTCCTGTAGTACTGTTCATCCACAGACAGATCTACTTGGCGGTTTACAGTGTTTATGCTAAGCTAAGCAAGCCAGCAATTGCTTAACATTTACCATACAAATATGAGAGCAGCATTGATTTTCCGATCTAACTCTGAAGACTAATGCTGAAGACATTCAGGCTGTTTTAATCTAATATGTTAAAATAAACTCACTGCAGTCTATACGCAGTTTTGTCAAACATATTGCTCTGGCAGCAAGTATCAGGTATGTGTTAAAAACAAACAATTACGGGGAAAAGCATTAGACAGTTACGATACCCTAGAGGGCTGATAGATAAGAAACAGGGCAGAGAATTTCTCCACCGTACCGTTCCTTCGGCCAAGGCTGATATGACATTCCCCAGGGCCGACAGAGACTTGTTGATGTTCTTGGCCTCATCCAGCACTGCTCCCTCTGCACCTGTCTTACTGACCTGACACAGATACACACATAGAAGGAATTAGATCTTAAAGCACATTATCAGCATAAAAAGTGTTTATTTTCCTGTTCCTTCTTTATTTGAAAGGTTCTGTAGTTTCTTTTAACGGCTTACAAAGAATCCCTTATAAGTATAGTTTAACCAATGACGTCTTTTAGCCAGCACACAGTGCAGTTATACATGCAAAAAGGTGAAACTTATACAGGTATACAGGGAAACTAACATATCAACATATTTTGTGAATAAAGTTTTCAATAATAAACAAATAATGACTTTACTCAGGTTTAAATGGAGCTCTTCTTTTAAGTAAAAAAATAGTAGTAAACAAATACATGCCAAATGGAATTCATTTCTACGTAAACTACTACTACTGTATGCTTTATTTACAGCATTTATAATGCCCTGTATCATAAAATGTCAAAAACAGATAGAAAACACTGAGACAACCAGCTTTTAAGAGGGTTTATGCAAGACATTTTACTTTAATAGGAAAGGCACACCATATTGTGCCATAATTGTCATGGGATACAATTATTTACAGCGAGATAGTGAGGAGCTTAATTATAGAGGAGAGCAAGTTGTCCTATCAAAGCCTTCTGTGGAGCATCTACTAGATTCCCATTCTGTCAATAACATTTTATATCAAGGTCTAAGAAGTTGTTGGAGCAGAACCATTTCCTCCTTCACCCCCTTAGGGATGACCAAGAGAACTTACAGATGCAGCATCAGCACTTACTAGCTACAAACCATGGCCGTCAGCATCTATCCAGACTGTATGGCCATCTACTACTCTAAGCACACACTATTCTATAATTTGCATCAATGGTCTCAACATTAAACTACACCCAGCAGCCAGAGGTCTTGTTTGGCTGTGTCTTTAATGTATTTTCAGTCTCTTTCCAGAGTTTGACCTATGTCCTGGAGAAAGATTGTTTTATCAATGGTTCAATGAGGCGAGCTGACTCAGATTTCACCTAAAAGGCCTTGAAACAGGGTAACAATTAGTTGTTTGTGATTCCCCTCAATTTGACCTCTGTCTTGGTTGAAATTTATTTTAAAGCCTATCTGAACAGAAGAAAAACATTTTTGAGAGTTTATTATTTCTCAGAAAATGATATTTTGCTTCCATCAGTGGAACCAATTGGATTCTTCAAATTGTGCAAACTCTAACCCTGATGTTGCATCAGACTAAACCAAGCCCTCAAAAAGAATGAGTCCTCCATCTCTAAGATAGATTCGTTATAATGTAGAATTTAATAAAAATTCTTAAAGCGAGTGCTTCATAATGCTTTAAGGATGAAGTTCAGAGCTTTAATACATTGTTTATCGGCTTCTTTGATGTCTGAAAACATCCTTTATGAGAAAATAAGCCTGAACCCAGTGTTTCAAAATCCTGCTTACGAGTGAATGTTGAGAGTTTATAGAATTTTATAATGTAGAAGAAAATACCCCATTCGTCCTACCTTCTCACTACCAGCTAGGTCAACAAGGTACAGCTTCCCACTCAGTTTCTGCTCCGTCTCCACGTTTTCTTGTTTGATGTTAATCAGGAAGATGCTGTGACTGCGGGAACTGTGCTCATTCATGTCTAAAGAACAAAGAGAGGAGAGGAGAGACTCTAATTCAGATTACTTATATAAAATGTCATTCAACTCATTATTTCTCATAGCCGGAGTTGTTAAGCTAGATGTTCACTTTGCACCTTGTCATGCATTTCTCACCTTTGCACCTTAATGTTTTTATACTTAAACAGTTAAAAATATCTGACATGAATTGTAAGACATTTGACGTGACAGTGTGAGCATCAGAACATCATGAAGATCAACAGTGTGACTCACTGGTGACAGCAACGTGACGGCTGGCCTTCCCTTCATCTATCACATCCATCACTTCCTCAGGGCTTGTGACAAAGCGCTCTGTGCAGCCCTTAGTGAAAGAAGGACACGTGCAAACATTCATTTGTACTATGAAGAAAACCGAGAAACATCTATACATACATACATACATGCACCAACAAACACAAATAAATGCTTCCATATGCACACTCATTTAAAGTTGCAGATTGAAATGTACGCACATATTTATGTCTGCACAAATAAAAACACATTAACAAATAATGCAAAGATGACAACAGTTTGTCATTTGCTTTACTTCAAATTGGTGTCCTCAAGCTTTAAGCAAAAGTTAAAACATTTTGGGAAATATATCACATTCATTTAGCTGACACTTTTATCCAAAGGACTTACAATAAGCTTATTTATCTTTCTTTAGCTTATTTAGCTTTCTGAGAGCTAACATTGAGTTATGTTAGTTAGATGAGAAGACTGACACCAATCAGCTACAACCAGAAGCCAGTTAGCTTAGCTTAGCACAAAGACCCTATCCTGTCCCTTTCAAATAGTAATGGAACATTGCGTTTCAAATTGACGGGCCCATCAGCACCGCAGTATCATAGAGAAGAGCAGCCAGGCCACCAATTTTGAATAGGAAACGTTTTATTTACACCACATGACATAATAAGCCAGTACCGTACATTTTTAGATAGTAGAATGTATTACTTTATCAATGGATGTGGTCAGAGTATGATAAATATGTATGGTTACATAGACTGTATAATTAAAAAAGTGGATACCGAAGAATTTTTATTTATCGTTTTACATGTTTGATGTTCAAAAGTTGGCAGGGCTCCGGCCCTACCAGCTCTACCAGTTCCGCAGTCCTTGCCTAGAAGTATATTGTATTTTGTTTGCTTAATCCTTACAAAAGCCAAAGCAGGAAAACCACAAGGGTTGCGTCTCAGAATATTCCTTAGCTCTGAACAGTTGCAATCAGCAGAGAGTCCTGAGCGCCTTTTACTCTGGTTTTTGTAACAAATGAGATACACATAACGTGTTAATTAATGACCTTTAGAGGTATTTAATTAATTACATTTTGACTAGGCTAGCTGTTTCCCCTTGTAACATTGGTGCTAAGCTAAGCTAATCATCCACTGGATTTAGCCTTGCTTATATTTAAAAGACAGATATCAGAGTGGTTAATAATAAATAAATAAATAAATAAATAACTTTCCACCAGAAAGCAAACAAGCATATTTCCCAAAATATTTAACTATTCTTTTAACAAACATTCATAACACAAAAGACATCTACACAATAAAGGGAGAGAAATCAAACTGAATCATGTCAAACTGCTCATGACTCACCTTCACATAAGGAACTCTGTATTTGTCTTCATGCACTGACAGGTTGGTTTTTGTAACTAGGGTGTAAGGGGAAAATAAGGAGAGAGGTCAGTGTGTTGCGTGTGCAAATGAGCATCTGCACATGAATCTGTGTTTTTACTTTGGGCTCAACTATAAACAGACCTGACTATGTTGCCGTCATGAGTCAGACTCACATAATAAGTGAGGCTCTAGCTATTAATGCTTTTAATGACACTGAACTATTTTTTTGCCAAAGTCACAGAGAGGTTAAGCAGTTACTGCCAATGAACAAACTTGGTTTTTTTCTTGCAAAACCAGCTATTGGCCCCAATTCCTGCATTAGTCTTTTCACATTTAAAAGTCCTCCCTTTATGATAATTACATTTCACTGGGTTGAGGAGGTTGTTTTTTCCTTGGAGATAGTGTGCTTGTGTGGGTCTGTTTTTGTGTGTTTTATCACCCTATAGTCACATTTTCTCTGTGAAAATACATCTAAAGGGGGTTGTTCTCTGTGCTGCTTCGATTCATCTCGCTTGTTGTGGACTCTTTTTTTGTTCATGGCTTAAATGTTCTTCAGCTGCTGTGAACTCCCCTGCATACAGATGGGAGCTTTCATCACTGTCTCTGGCGCGATTAAAGATGTAATCACAAGAATGCTGCCTACCTCTCCTTGTCCAGGCCTCTCCATCATTGTACACTGGTTATATATCTCAGTGATAAGACCAAGAACTGCAATATTGTGGTGCTTTTGTTGTTGTATAAGGCACAAAACCACAAAGCTTTATTGTCTGGGAAAGGAAAGCATTGTTGTTGTTTACTTGTTGAATTTCATTTCATCACTTTTTGAAGTTCTAAGTTTTTATACTGTTAAAATAACTCATAATTATTGCCATGACAACCAGGCGTAGGTTTTGTTTTGATTATTTGTAATGATAAAATACATTATTAATAACCATTAATAATTATTATTGTATTATTTTTTAATAAGATTAATAATTAATAACAGTCTTTCTTAATATAAAACCTAAGATGCTATGTAGTACTGTTAATGCACTATTCCTTCTTATTGAGTACAAACAGCTCTGAGCTTTGCTGTGTTTTTGGTTTATGTTCAATGCTAGCTTATTTTTAGTAAACAAAAATAATGATTTTTTTTTACCAAAACAACATGCAGTCAGTACTTTTTGCAGCCCTGGGTTATTTCTACAGTCTTCAATTCAGGCTGCATATAGCCCCAACACCCTCTAACATTAAGGTAAGTCAGACTGCATGTGGGCTGAGAGGCGAGAGACAGGGTATAAGAAGTCCATATACCACTCGTTCCACCATAGGCTACTGCTCATTACGCTTATTGCTGTGAGTGCAATAATTAAAGGTGACTCAGATGACCATCTGATGTTTCTCCTCTCTTCTCCCATTGGGATTTTGTCTGCTACACAGTAAGAGGAGAATGTATACAGAGATTTTAGTGAGAACATCAATTTGAAACTATAAACATGCAGCAGGAGACAAAAGAAGGATTTTAAAAAGTTAGGGAGACATGTTCCCCTATCCCCAGTGGAAATTACGCTGTAAATGTCAACATCGCAGTTGATTCTGATGCACCTAGTTATAAGGGTTTGAATTTTGAATCGGCTGCAACAAACAGTGAGTTAACAAATTTAGTTTTCACTGTCATGTGTTCAGTGCATAAACACACCATCCAGCAGGTCCCGGATTTTATCCATGTAGATCTCGAAGTAGGAGACCTGCAACAAAACAAAGAACATAGAGCAGCTGATCTTTGGAAAAAAAAGGGAGAGACAAGAAAAACTAAGTGACACAGATAGAGGGATGTAAGGGATGCTCGTGCAAATATGCAAAAGGATGTGGCAATAATCTGTCCTCTGGGTCTGACAAGGTATTATCCTCTATTAGAAGACTGCGGTTGAAAAGGGGAAAAAGCACAACAAATATTGCAGGATAATCATGGTTTATATATGATGATTTATTGATGCTAGACTGATTCCACTTGCATGTGAGGCTTACATCAGAGGCAGAAGCTGAATTCCGACTAAAAGTATCTTAGTGTGTAAGACCAAAATTGACTATGTTTGACAACTGCACAAATAAACACACGGAAATTCACACCAACCTTTATGTGGAATTCTAGGTTCTCATCCATGGCAAATATATGTTCAAAAATGTCTTCTGAGATCCGGGGAATGATACCCATTCCCTCGGGATCATGAAGGTTCCCCTACGAGAAGAAAGAAACCTGATAAGAACATGTGAGTGAAGAGTAGGCATGCACACCCTGGGACAAATCAGGCAGAGAGAATAGTAAAAGAAAGGAGAGCAGAGAGGTTTTTGACTTGCAAGGGAACAGAGTTGTTTCCCAGAGAGAGTTGTAAAGGAGGTTAGTTCCCACTCCCCACAGAAGGCTGGTTAAGATAGTGAGTGATGACAGTGACGGAGGGAGAGGTAGGCCAACTATGTGGGTGAACAGAGGAGCAGATACTCTATTAAAAAAGTGTGCGTGTGTGAGCCACAGCAAGATGTCTACCTTATAAAATTATTTAGTGATACTGTACCTCCATGGTGTGTGTTTTTCCAGAGGAGGTCTGCCCATAGGCAAAGATAGTCCCATTGTATCCACCCAGTACATCTATAATGACAGAAAAAGAAGAAAAAAAGAAAAAAGCATGAATAATAAGAAAATCTGACAGAATTTTCGAATTCAGGTGTGTAAACAATAAGACAGGAAGGCAGACAAGCACCCAGACAAAGACAAACATCTTTTGACCTTTGCTCCAAACTGTGCCTCAGAAAGCCTGTGTGCACTTAGAGGCATGTGGTATTTAAGCTTGGTTAGGCGCTGAATGACCTCTGTGGCTTCACACAATAAAAAACCCCTACCTGCAGTGTTAAAGTCACCAGGAGGCTCTGAAGTACCAAGCAAGTATAGATATATTACCCTCTCCATTCATCTGGTAGCAGCCACACTGAAAACAACACCTCATCACCATTTGAGGTTGTAAAAGCAGCGCGTGGCTGAATGTCATATTGCTGACAGTCTAATAAACCCCTGTGGTAAAAGTCAAACATGGATAAAGAAAAACACATCACCCTGAAAGGCCGGCTGCCACTGGTTAGCTGAACACAGACTAATCACAAAGGCCCTCAGCTGAAAACATGAGGCACCCTTTCCCTCACTCCCCCCTCTCCTCACTCTCCTGTGTTGGTTTTACACTTGCAGATTTCAGCTCAGTAACATGTCTTCCTTTCTCTCCACGCTGGACATGGTGAGACCGAAACAGAGCATGACACATGAGAGAGCAGAAAATAAAGAATCTGTTGCTGAAAGGAAATAAAGACAGTGGGAGATAAGATCGCAAGACAACAGAGACCACCACAGAGGGGAAACACAGAAGAGAAGAGAGAGAGGAAAGACAGCATGAGTTTAAGAGGAAGACAGTGAAAAGGGCAAAGAAAGACGCAGTAAAACAGGGAGACAGCCAGAAAGCGTAAACATGCATATGTCTCCAGACCAGCTTTCTCCGGCCTTGTTCACCCTCTCTGTTACCCTTTTCCCCTGACACATTTCAAATCTCACTTTTCATCTCATTCCTTCCTTCTGCAAAATCCCTAGCCTCGAATTTTTCAAACCGTGCTCTGCGATTCATCTCGCCTTTTATTTCCATCCTTCCTCAGCCTACAAGGTAATCTCACACTCTATAGGTAATCTTTCTTAACAAATCAATCTCTTTTTTATGCTCCATCTAGAACTAGCTCAACGGAGCTCCACACTCGCTTTGAAGGTTTCACAAAAACGAGACCCTAACAAGGGTGAAAAGGCAGACAGATGTAGGGAGATGCAGACGGAGAGGGAGGGGCGAAGGAAAGGAGATCTGACTCCTGAGGGTATTGGTTTCGTTTGATCTAGTGCCTTGAATACACCAGTCCCGCCGTGCTGTGATAAGCATGCATCTTGTTAATCAGTGCATTTTGATGCTCATACCTGTAGGTTGTGTGACTACATCGTATCATGGAAATTGGTTTTCTCACTGCTTGTAGGGAGCTGCTAATGCATGCAGTCAGTGACTAAAGAGTTAACTGACAATGCTGTGAAGGGTAAATGCAAGGAAATGGGGATTCAAGGTGTACTGGCTTTTTCCCTTTTGTGTCACTCATGCATCTTGGACAAAGGCTATGTTTGCTTAGCTGTTTACATTATTTTCTAAATGTGTCTCATATTAGATTCCAGTGTGAACAGGTCACGGTCCTGAAGACCCGCATGACAAAAATAGATCTGGAGTGACATACAACTCACATGATTTCTAATATGACTGTTCACACTGAGGTTACTTTGAGAAAAATCTATCTATCAATTGAAAGTGCCCCAAATCAGAACTGAAAAGATCAGATTCCATATTATTTGTGCACATATAAGCAAAAAACATGCACATGACTCACCTTTGACAATCTGCTTGGCGCAGGCGTTGTAGACCTGTTCCTGAGTGGTGTTAGTGGGGAGAACCTGGTCAAATACGTACGACTTCCCCTGTGGAGGCCAACACAAACACAGTCAGCTGCAGACAGTTTAAAGAGTGCTTTAGATTACTGTCAGCACCTCATTCTTCCCTTGTGATTCGCTGTAAAATCCACCCTGGGAAGTTTGTGAAGCAGAGCACAAGGGTGTGTGTGTGAAAGAGAGGGAGATTTCACACATCATGTTTATCAATAAAACATTATGTAAAGCCATATTGGCACTATTAAATAGAGCCGCATCAATATTTCCTTTACGCACAGTGAACATGTTTTATGGAGACTGTGTCCATCTGTGTGTATTAGGCCTGAATAGCAGCACATATATCACATTAAGAGGCCCATCTGTCTCTTTTGGTGGTATGCATCCCGAGTGAGTGTGAGTTTGTCTAATTTTATTTGTGTGTACTCTGTGCTATTGAGAGGCAGTGGGTGTTTTGAATGAGTGCAGTGCAGCATGAAGCCTTGGGCAAAAGTCTGTGTGACCCCGAGAGAGACAAAGAGAAAGATCACATCTGAGTTGAAGCCATTAGAGGCAATGTTCAAGGACTTCAAGAGTAAAGTGATGGAGTGGAGAGGAGAAATGGAGTGGAGGAGTGGAGCAGAGGAGTGGAAATGCAGAGAGGGCAGAGGAAAGTAGATGACCTGAAACCAGTGATTGCATGTGAGAAAGTGTGAGAGAAAAACAGTGTGAGAGAGAAACACACAAAGAGTGAAGGGGAAAAGAAAAGAGAGTCTGTTTTTCTGATGGAAGCAGGTCTCATGTCAGTTGACAAGTCTGTTAGTCAGTGAGGCACCAAACAAGCCAGCCAATCAGCTAACTATCCGCCATTAAACAAGTCACACAGCCAAGCGGACATATGTTAATTCGACACACAGGCTTGGATTGCCACTCAACCAATTAATTAAGCAAGCTAGCATCATTCAGCTGAAAAGCAAGTTCACCTTAGTCAGCCACTGCATGCATCATTCAGTCACCCATCAGCCAAGTCCTGGTGATGAGGATAGTGGCTGAGAGAAGTCTAGTCTCCTTAATAAAACATGCCTTACTGCTAATGGGTTTGATTTTATGTATGAGTGTGTATGTACGAATGTATGTGGGTGGGTGTAGGGAGGCATATATGTGCATAGAATTCACAGTTGTGTCTGTAATTGTACAAGACAGGCTGGACTAGCCGTAAGGCCTGCAGACATCTGCTGTGTGAAGCATAAACACTGAAGAGGAACTGAACAGTGGCTTCCTAAACTCGCATTTTTTACTCTGTTTAGCTTTCTAGTTTTCTGTATTTTCTATGGACTTTTTAGTCTTTATTTGATAGTGTGACATTAAAGAAAACATGGTGAGAGGTCCGGAGATTTGAATAGAACCGGGAATGTCAGAATCAAACCACGTCACCACCCCTATTTATTTGTTTTATTGTCAGAATGTGCATTACATCAAATAACAGTTTGAATATGACACAACCAGACATTGGACTCATCTTGGTTCTTGATCCATAATTAAATGTAAAAAGGTGTCACTTTAAAGCCTGCAGAAAGGGTACTTCATCTTATGACCGACAATAAAGGTTTCTTATGTAATCTTGATGTACTGTGTAATGAACAGACTATATATAGGCCACGAACAAACAGTTTTACATTCTATCCTTATTGTCCTGAGGGTTGTATAGTGAGTGGGAGCGCCACATTACATAAGCAAGGCATTAAATCCATACAAGCTGCATGAATCTTGTGCTATTCATGCCCCTTCACTGGAAAAGAGAAGATATTTTTGCTATGGGGAAAACACATTATTTTTTCAGATAAAATAAACTGTATTGATCCCACAGGGAGAAAGATTAAGAAAATAAAAGTGGGATTTTAAATGTTTAGACATGGAAAAAAGAAAATGAAAGAAAGAGCTGCTCCAACAAGCTGCACACATGGTGCACCATCTTGCATGTTATTATTTTAGATTGGTCTTAATACACTCGTCAATTGCCGTGCAAATGCTTTTTACTGTTACATAATCTACCATAAAGAAAATTACATTCTAGTATGTACATGTGTTTCTGCCCTTTACATAAAAGCTATACAACTGGAGAGGAATGCTCTAAACCAAGATTATGTTTGCACCAGCAGGCTGGGGGAAAATACACCAATAATCCCCTGCACCTCCATGTATTACATATGGGCCCAGTTGCCTCTCAACCTTTCAAATGGCACATTCAACAACAACTCGACACAAAATCCTAATGCACACAAATTGATCAGTGGCTTGAATAATAAGTTCCGGTCCCTAGCTTTCAAGGATGAATTATTTTGTGGTTTAACTCACAATTCTTAATGTTTACATTTATTATGTTGGCTTTCAAGACTGTCCACCATTCATTTGAGGTAGTACACAATTGTATTATACTAAAATAAGGCAAGAAAAAATTATTAATTTTGGCATGTAGGACAGTAACTGTTTTTAGTTAAAACTTTCAGAAATTAGATATTGGTACTTACTGTTATACACAGCAGCTTGTTCCCTTTCTGTGTTGCCATGGTTTAACATGCTGCCTGTTCAATAAGTTGATACACTGAGACAGTAAAATAAGAAGAGTATTTAAACTTCTATCATAACAGAAGAGTTGAACCTTGTGATCTTTTTCCACGCTTCTCAAGTAAGTATTTTGAGACCAATATATTAAGTTGATATATTGAGATTAAATGAGACTTGCTATTTTAGTCTGCCAAGAGAATCTAGATGTTTTTCTCTTGCCACTCAGGCTTCAGACCTATTTATAAAGAAAACCCACTAAGGAAGAAAAAATGCAATTTGTGCCACTCCCAAGAGCTGTAGTTGAAAATAAGGCAGCATTACTGCAGAGTAAGGAACTGAGTGGGAACATTTCCACAATGACCTCCCACTTTACAATTCTAGCTTTGCATAAAATAATTTGTTTGTGACAGAAGGTGGAGACAGTTTGGCAGAATTCAAGTTTCAATTCTTCCATTTCTTATTAAGCTGAACTGTTTAGCTGCTGTGTTCAAGTGCTGTAATCACAGCTGCAGGTACAAACAAGCTTCCCATCAGAACTGATTAGGGCTGTTCCCAATAACCATTTGCACAGCTACACACTACACACATGCGGGGGGGGGGGGGGGGGGGGTATAGGGAGAAATCATGATGTGGTCTTCATTGGGGTGAATAAAATGAGTCAGTTATATAAGCAGAATGAAAAACAACCCTTTGCCAATCATTTGTTCTGCTAGCTCCACTGTTAAAGCACTAATCTGTTCCTGTGCTGCATAAATATAATAGCATAAATGTAATGTACTCGACATTCTGTAAGCTCTCCATCTCCATGTCCATCTCTCAGCCTGTCGGTCCAGCTATAGAGACACTAACTTGTTTGTGTGTTTGTATAATTTAACGGATGTCTTTTCAATTATGTGCGTGCACACTGATGCAGAATGCTGGAATGGGAAGCAAAGTGCATCTGTGTGAGTGTGTGTGATGTGTTGTGGGTTTGGGGTGTTTGTGCCAAATAATATATCAATATTATGCCTGTACATGCAGACATTTTTCATAGCCCTTAGCTTTGTGTGCAATGTCAAACACCCACATGCCCTGTCCAGCCTGCAATCTGCTGCTGTCTGCCAGGAGACAAAGAGGCAGTGGGTTGCAGGCAGAGAGTGAGAGAGAGAGAGAGAGAAAATTAAAAAACTGCAATAATCAACAGAAACAGAATCATGCTGGCAAGACAAGGAGAGAAAAATCAGTGAGGAGAAGTGATGAGAGTAGAAAAATAAAGACATATAATCAGCGTAAACGGCAACAAAAAGAGAGAGAGAAACGCAATTACGATCAAAAAATGAGGGAGGGGGAAGGTGGAGAACATACAAACAGACAAGAGAGAACAATCGACTGAAGGCTGAAAAAAATGAGTTAACAAGAGCCAGGAGAAGAAAAAAGAGAGGGAAAGAGAGGGTTGCAGCAGCAGCTGTTGAATTTAGATGGAGGTCTTCTTTAAGGCCCTTGGGACCAAAGAGGCCTCGTCCAACCAGAGGGCTTGCATGGGTCTCACATACATACAGCGTACCAGAGACATTGAAATCCTGCCCTGTTTGCAAACAATAACTTGCATGAAACAACAAACCATGTAACACAAATAGAGGGATTTTCTTGGCTGAATCCCTCAGTAAGTATTGATAGCTTTAGCTAATGTGGTGTTTAGTCAGCTCACAATAGTTAAACACTAATCAGTTAGTACTAGGTAGCTAATTTCTATTAGCATAATATATATATATATATAGTATATATATATATATATATTTTACAAAGGTCTACCTCATGGTAGCACTAGACAAACTATCAGGCTATCACCAAAGTCAGTAGGATACATCCCTTGGGAACAAATAATTTAATCATAATCAATCTAGTAGTTGTCCAGGGGGGCGTTCCGTTGGGTGCAATAAAAAAACAATACTATGCACTCTTATGGAGAACATTACCCCTATTTCCTCACTTGATTAATTAGCTCAACAATCAGTTTCCTAATGAGTTTATGGTCTCCAATCTCTAGTGTCAACGTCCTTCTTCCTTACAGCAATGATGTTAATTTAGTAGATGTCATGAGTAACAATAGACCATAAAGCACGGCATGCTTTTTGGCGTGGGCTACCTTATGATTGACAAATCACTCTCAGTAAGATCTGTCCAACTCACCGCATGAAAATTCAGATCAAACTGTCAAACTAGGCAGTAATGATCAAATATGAATCAAGATTAGTGTTGCTGCGCTTGACTTTTTATCACCTAAAATCATTTCAGAAACGTATTTTAATGTACTGTTTATCTGTAACACTTGACTGTGTGTGACTAGGTGAAGCACCATGGTTTCCTGCTAGTCAAGTCGAAGACTAACGCAGACAATGACAGCAGCTCAACTCGCAGTACGTCACCTCCCACTGGCTCCATCTGACTGTCATGGCGCACGATCATAACGCCTAACTCAAGGCTTTAGACAAGTAACTCCACAAACCAAA